ACCTCAGTTACTGTGTGGGTGGCCATGTTACTACTTATTTTTGTATCCTAATTTATTCTCCTTATCCCCTCCTCCATTCTCTATTCTATAAAGTTACAGGAACATCTGATAAATCCTTTTATCCTTTTGACAGCTTAAATCAGAAAACTCAATTTATGACCAAGTCAATGAGGAACAACTTGTATAACACCCACCAAATCATATGAGTTTGACCCCGACGAGTCTTGTGGCTGGGGTGAACCTTACGTTTACCCACCTGCAACTTCCAGGAGTCAAACCCATAGCATATAGCAGACAATAGAATTATATATGAACAAGATATTCTGAACTACCATCAGGTTATAAAATAGGTGGCATATAAAGTCCCAATATTCTAATACTGTATACATCAGTTGGCTCGGACTTCTGTAGTACACTCTTAACCAAAAGTTCTCAAGCCTATTATCAATAAACAATTTGCTACAACCATATACAGTTCTCAAATATCTTCTATAAAAGTTTGCTATAATTCAGAACTCATAATACTTTTCCACCCTTGAAGCTCTGTCATCAGTATATCATGATCACCCCAGCACTGTAGTAGTCTTCATTTTAGATCATCTGCTGTTCTAACCTCTATTTTCTACTGCCTAAAGTTACATTAAGTACAGCTAATCATTTACTATATTACTGAGCAATGTTCTTAGTAACAACTTCAAAAATAGTAAACTTAACTCCTTCATGTAGTCTCCTAATTTTGCAGGGTTGTTTCTCCTTTGTACTGTACTGTTGTCTGTACACTTATATTAAGCTATCTTTGAATTTTTTATTACATGAATGAAAATTTACCTCCAGCTCAAACTATTTTTATTTCTGTTGTGACATGAAAGGGGTTTACTTAATAACACATTAGACTTATAGCCCAGGGGCACGAACACAACCCCTCGGCGAGGCCGGGTGGAAGGCGCGTTCCCGTCTACCTCGTACACAGAGTTGGACGCCCTCAACTAAACTGACCTTCATCTAGAGGTTACGAACTTAAAAAACTTCAGAATGTACCATAAAGAATGTTAACTTTCTCAGCACTATGGACACTATCAGTCAACTCAAACATTTGCCCTCTGCTACCATTCACATCAAGATGATAGCACTCAAATAAAATAAAATTAATAAACAATATCTCTAAAATTGTCTAAACCCAAAGATTATTAAGATAAAGAAAAAAAAATCTAATTCTTTACACTTTGACAAATGTATATTCACCGATTCGCCGAAAAAGATGTTAGTTCACACGTTCACTGATAATTGCAAAAACAAAAAATCCAAGGTATTGTATACATAAGAACAACATTCAAGGAATTTTTGAGTCTCATACTACAGGAAAAACTGACATACTTCAATGTCTATGTTATATACATCTGGAAGGGTTAAAGCCCCATACAGTATGAATGGTATGTAGTAATGTATGAAGATATAAATATGTGTGATGAGGCACTACAGCTGAAGACTACTAAAAAACTTAACACAATTTAAACACCATAATTTATCTGGAAAAAGTTTGTTTTACATTTAAAATCCCCAAATTCATAAAAAAAAAAAATCACAATATTAATAGAATGTGAGTTAAATGGAGAATGACTGATAGGGCCAACAGTTGTGTGAAGAAAGTCAGCAGAGAATCACAGGGAGGTAGAAGCAGAAAAACAAGCGGTTAACCAAGAGAGTGCACAAGATCACTAAATCTTCCAATAATACCATTTCCATTACTTAATAATTCCATATCCTAACATAAACTAAAGTCTTTTATTCTAGAAAGTTCCTGACTGTCCATTCATCTTTTTTGTATGAGATATGAAAGTCAAAATACTGTATTGAAAAGTATTAATGCAGTAAGCCAGAGTAAATCATGTAACTCATCCTCCATCATCAGGTCAGACAACCGAGGACAATAAACAGAAGACAATAAAGAAAGGTGGCCAGGAATCAATAAGATGTATCACCAATCTCTTCCTCGCTTATATAGGAAAAATACAGCCCATTATTAGACCATATCATAGTCACTTTTTGTTAACGGATGACAAATGGTACCATTGAAAAAAAGAACTGTCGGGTCTGTCCAATAAAACACTGATTGCATGAGCCTTGTCCTTGAAAACTGACACACTAAGCATCGAAGCATATCTAGCAAGTACTATAAGTGCAATTTTGCACTCTGAGGGTTACTTAAATTCTTTTACCTATCAGCTCTCACTGTAATGTAATAAATGTGACCTGTCATCATTGTCTAACACCACCTCTTTGTTAATGCCCAGGGCCCACTCAACCTGTTCATGATTCGCAAGTTACAATTAAATATTCTACATTTATCCGGTTATTACAGATGGGAAAACAATTAAACTGGTGCAAGGATGGAATACGAGTACAGAATTATTCAAGGTGTAAGGAAAGTCTGTGTACATCTGCAACAATTAAAAATAAAGTTACAACATTTAACTTATTTGACTTACAATAAATGTTGGAAGTGGATACCATTCCCAATATTTATTTCAAGAAGAACAAGGTATATAATAATGTAGGTATAATAAGGAACAACTATAGTGTTAGTTATTCCAGGTACATAGGGACTTTTCTACCACTCTGTATAACACTCACTCACAATCAATGGCAGATATATAATTATCCCCATAATCATGACATAAGGAATATGGACCATAAAAATCAGCTGGATAATATAACTGGAGAGCTGCGAATCAGTTCTCTGGCTACTTAACCGTCATGTAAATCTAAGACAACTAGTCAGGCCCTGAAGGAACAGTGGAATGTTTGGTACAACAAGAAATACCAGCATAATGTATGGGTACTGCAGGTATTTTTATATAGTTTACAGATCTCTGATACAAGGCAGAGAAACATTATAACTGAGAGGACATTACCTACTTGATGAGAAATGTGAAGTGTGCAAAATGACACAGGGACTACACTACGGACCGTTAGCTACCAACAAACCTCACTTGAAACAATAAGTAACAGTTACAGATGAGGACAGTTTGATAGCACAGGTCCTACATATATGAATGGGACAAATACTGAAGCTTCTGGGCAGTAATCTTAATTGTATAACTCAAAAAATTTTCTACTTAAGGATGATGAGATTTATTTTGCAGGAGTCACTGAGCCACGTTTGGTAGAAGGACCACTCCATGACAATGACTCTAAGATACAGTATAAAATATTTTGGTGCAGTACAAAGATTCTAAAAAGGAAAACATTACAAAGTGTTTCCTCTATCCACAAAGCCTCTAATAATTTTTTACAGAACTATCTACTTGAACTTTAATAAAGATTATGTTGTATGATCCTCAATTCTATTCCCATCTACAATAAGTGAAGGATCTACATCAAACCTCTCCTCAAAAACTACTATTCATTAATATTCTGAATATATATTATACAGGTGTATATGATAATGAATAATGCTTTCATTGTTAACTATATTATACTAATAACTGTTTATTCATATATGTATTATCAACTTATACTGCATATGATAAGTGAATATTGATTTTCACATTAGTGTAAATATATATACTGTATAAACTTTATATGTTTATTCTGTTTTTTTAAATATATGTCCAATCACTCTTCTGCTCTCATACTCACTGCTCTATAATACTCCTCAACATTATTATTCACCATCTCTATTCATCTCTTACACAATCTACCTAACCTACTTACACCTCCATTCATACCCTCCAAAAATATTCTTCATCAAGCTACCATCAGTTGCACATTCCACCAAGTTGCATCATCTTCTTGAGATTTCTTCCAGGTGAATTTCTACACTCCCCTAACTCTGAATATATTCTACAACTACTACTCTCAACAAGAAAGGTTTTTGCATTGACAGAGTTGGAATAAGTTCTCCAACCTGCAAGACTTATACATAAACAACCACAAGAGACTGCCAACTAATTATCAAGACCTCTTTAAGCCTCCCACAACACTTACTATTTCTCTACCCTACATTACTTTCTATATCCTATTTATAACACTGTTCCTAGATTTTTTAAAACTCATATTGTATACAGGTATGTTCCAATTCTTTGCCATTCAAGCTCAGTAAAATTACAATGATAGAGGTCATCTCTCTTGTAGGTGAGGAACTTGCTCTTGTATGTATTCTGTCTCCTGGTTCAATACATTTTCATAGAAGAAACATTTTATTCAGATATTCAAGCCATTTTCCACTGTATCTGCAAGGTGGCCAGAGTCTAAAGCAAACATAGATTCTCTCTCTATTTGGTATTATCTATTCACTCTTAGTGCTGTAACATCCCCATTCTAATCAATGTTTTCTTTTTTTTAATACCAATAAAGAACCATCAACATCTACATCCACCAGCTGTGATATATTCCACTCTGTACCATCATGGTCTAGAAAAAATTACCTACATTCACTTAATATCATCATCATCATCATTGTTGTTTTATGGCCATTTTCCACTACATAGGTAACTATGAAGACACAACACATCCCTGACAGTCAAATACAGTAATTATGAAGGTACCAAAATATATAAAAACATGCTTCACTCTTTCCTACATAACCCCAATTAAAATATGGATGACAAACTACTGCTTTAGCATCAGTCAATAAATAAATCATCAATAAATATTATCTTCTTGAATCTGAAAGTAAGTGACCCTAACTCTCAGTAACTTGGTGCATCTTTCATAAACAGTCTTTAACTATATATTGGAATGTGAATGAAACTGTAAAACCAAACTGCATTTCTTGGTTAATCCTCACAGTCCATTGATGTGAAACAAAACAAATGCAGGTGGTACTAAACAAGATGAATGCTATATATGGAACTCTCCAGCAGTCCTGATAACAAGCAATTAACCTGGCCCCAGAGGAGAACACATTATGTCTTGCGTTAGAACAAACAAAATATCAACAACAATACCTGTATATAAGGCTATTACGACCACCTACAGATTGATGCGCCTGAACCTACCCTCATTGTGCTGGGGCGGGGGAGCAAGCACATCATTGTGTGGATCCTGGCCCTCTGGATTAGCCGCAGGGTTTACAGGTGCAGCGATGGGTTGATTATTCTCGGCCACTGGAGGCGCTGGCCGCTCTACAACTGCTGGTCCTGTGAGAAGAAAAGAAATGTTTGTCGTGACCAACTGACCATTTGTCTTGAGATTTAAACACTTACTTTTCATAATTATTAGCAGTTTTTACAACAATATTACCTTTGATTTTTTTTGCACTACATAATAAAATATCCATCAACAGGACGAAGTGGTAGTATGGACAAGATCACTACCATGAAAATATTTGTTAAGGAAACGATGAATATAGAGGAGCATTTCCCAGTAGCATTATAAATTAAGTTAGTTGATAATAAGTTAGTAAGGAAGCATTAACCCAAGCTTTAAAGTATTAGTGGTAGTTAAAGGGGCTCAAAGGACAATATCAACCATAACTTTAAGAGATACAGAACTTCATTACTCTTTTAAATGTTTATTGGTCAGCTGGTTGTAAGGCTATGGCTCCCTGTCACAGCAATCAAGGAGACTATGAGAATGTAATACCATCTGTTACTCTTATAAAGTGAAAATAATTCTGATACTTTATACCTATTCACTAACTGGTAGACACTGTATACCTATTCACTAACTGGTAGACACTGTATACCTATTCACTAACTGTGGTAACAACTAAACTGTTTTGTATTGCCTCTGCATAAATAAAAACCAATGGTAATGAGGGAATGTGCTACAGAAAAAATAGTGGCTACCGGTAGTCACTACTCACTAGCTACAGTGTTTTGTTGGTTGAGTGAAGGAGTTGTCTATCTACACAACTATTATCTTTCCTCTATATCCACATGCTTGGAGCGGGGGGAGGGTGATCAGAGGGAGACAAACCTCAAGACAGGGAGGACATGGCCCGGACAGAAGTGCAAGAAGAGCGTAGAAAGCGACAGGATATGGTTGAAACAACATACAAGAATGTTCCACAGGCATTGCATATCCTCAGCTTGCACATTAAGTAAACAAAAAATATCATTAACTTCCAACCTGTTTATAATGTTTTAAGTAGTTCACTATGCATACTAAGTTGAGTCATCAGATTTTTACAATACAGTACAGTACTGTATATTGGGACTATTAAAATTATTTTCACTCAAACTTCACCAATTTTCAAATTTTGGCACAGGAATAAATAATAGTTCCAGGAGGTACTTCTGAGCCAGTAGAAGAAGATATCATAACCACAGAGGCACAGAACCAAGATGTTTGCTACAAGTGTCTTTTATCTCCTTAAAAGCCTTTTCTTGCTAAGCTACAGTGATTGGAATCAAGAACAAAAACAGATTCTCTTGTCACTTTCCATCCATCAGTGTAAGTGTCAGGACAGATGCATGAGACTAGGAAGGTCTGTACCCCAGGCAGTGATCAAGCAAGGAGGGTTAGTGAAAAATTAAGAACCACAGAAAATTCCCACAATAACAATTTAGGAGGAACAGTCTCAAGATGACTTATACAGTATATTTACATCAATCCTCACCTTGGACTGGTTTAACCTGGGGTTGCTGAAGGACATGAGCCTGGGTGACCTTAGAAAACCGAGGCTTGGCTAAACCATGGAACTCTTGTATGGGGGCGGGGATTATGTATCGTCCTGCTACCAACACAAAACAAACATTGGCACTCAAATAATAACAAAACAAAAAGTCTCCCACCACCAAAAAATAAAATCCTGTCTTCTTTTTTACTCAGATCTGCCATTTGTACTGACTTACACCAATAAAGATCATTACTACACTAAAACCTCGGTGTAACAGAGAGTTGCATTACCAACAAAAATATTTTAGCTCAGCTCTGATGCATACAGATACATCACCACATAAAAATGATAAATAATTTGATAAACATCTCTACTGAAACATCACATTATACACCAGATCTTCAGCCCAAATACAACAGATCTGAGACAACATGAGCAAACCAAGGAAAAGGGAAGAACAATTATACAACTACATCTTCTTGTGTGTGAAAAATTTTGTTGTGTTTTGTGTTTATACTTAAATTGTGGAGTAAAGTTCTTCTGGCAGTAAAAGCAACAACACAATCAAACTCTTAACTCTACCATAAACTGAGAAAAGGAAAGAATTCAACCCATCTTTTCCACGACAACATTAACGTCCCCTATTTCCATCATATCACACTGAGCGTATAAAAAGGGACTAAAAAATTCAATCCTGTTTTGTAGACGATAAAACGAGGAAGAGACCAGTGACATATTGTTATCGAGCATCTCACAAGTGTATGGTGTCAACTAGACCCTCAGAGCCTCCGAGACACATGTGCACGTATAAAACACAGACAGACAGACAGACATACAGCTACAACAACAAATTGACAGCCAGACAGAGCTACAACAACAGAAAGACAGACATACAAATATAACAGCAAGCAGACTTACAGACATACAGCTACAATAACAAACAGACAGGCAGACTCAAACCTACAACAGACAGACAGACAGATAATGCCATACCACAATACAGTACATTAAAATATTTCACATTTTCAAGGAATTAAAAACAAAAAACAAGAAGTCTAAAAAAAATTTATAATCCTGGAGGACACACAAGCACATGATTCAGAACAAGACCTCACCTGGTGGCTGGATTTGTGGATTTCCTTCATTTGGGTTCAGTTGCTCTACAGGTTGAGGGTTTCTGTCAACGGGGAGCACTGAGTTGACGGGTTGAGGGGCGATTAACGTGTCTCGTACTCCACTGTCTTGTATGGCATTGGCTACCGGTGCATTCTGTGCTGCTGTTGAGTACGAATAACATGAGCCATTACAAACAAATTTACACACTGTATAGATTAATACTACTGTAATATATTAAAAGTTCTGAACCTCTGTCTTAAACTATGCTAATCCAGGGCAGCTGTTAACATACTGTAAGAGTACCACTTAACCCCTTTACTATGGGGCCGCCACTTGTTCAGGAAGGAGCCCTTACACAAGGGGTCAGTAGACTATCTCCACTGACTCCTTCATTACGGGGGACGTCACTTTTAATATGCTATTTACCTAATGCCAGACGATTTTATTCAGCTCAGAGGCGACCCCGTATACAAGGGGTTAAGATCATTGCTGTTAAGATGATGACTTGAACCCTGACCTGAGATGATTGTAAAATCCTACCAAGATCTCAAAGTGTTAAAATGACTCTCAGCTTGGTGGCACAAACAATGAACAGTGCAGATCTACAAAATATGAATTTTTGCAACAACATAAGATTAGCTAAGATACTACGTATTATGATTACAACTAAATTACCTTCTTCATATTGTAACTTAAGTAAGATCATTGTTTATGTACCTTGGTACTGTATTAAATGTAAGCATAAATCATCCCCTTCTACAGTTCATTAAATTAAACAGCCAAACATGGATTGTGAAAAAGATGTACTTAAATCATCATCACCACCTTTTACAGCCATTATATAAGCAGTGTTTACCTGATGGTATTGTATCATAGTTGGCATCAGGTAAATTTGAAGCAAACTCTATACCTGGCTGCCCTTCCTATCACCAAACTATTTTTACAGAGTAGGAACTGGGCATTATACACATGACTTCACAGTGCCCTCTTTGCTGGCAAAGCAGGTTTATGTCGTGGGAGGAAATACTGTACAGGATGACATAAAAAGTTCATTGTTCAGAGAGTCCAGTCTCAAAAAAATAAAAAACATTAAATTTATATCCCATCATATATAAAGCTGGAGTAAGAAGCACCAGTTATATCAGAAACACAAAAAACTAACTGCTTGAAAGATGGAGTGTTGTTCCACCATGTTAGACCAGATTAAAGCACAGGATGTATAATTTCACAAAGCTCTCAATCAAGTTCTTAACCCCTTCACTGTGAGGATGCCGGTAGCTAACACCAGGTGATAGCAATCCACTTCTACATAAACCCGAACAAAAATACCATTCCATTTCAATACCTAAACAGTACATACAACACAAATGGAGACAGAACACAGATTTTTTCCTAATTTTTGCAAGCAGGAAAAGCTAAGTACTGCACTGTCCGGACATCCAGGAGCTTCAACATCGCTTTACTTTTTACACAGGAACAGAGATGATGAGAACATAAGTATTTATTTAGAGTACTATTACATAAAGTGCTCCGGAAAAGTCTCCAGTTATAAATACTTAAAAAAAATGCATGCATGCTAATGGTAAAGAAAATAGTTAGGAAAACATGCCATGCTCTTGATACTTTAGAGAAATGCTGTTAGTCATTCACACTCCAAGCCCCTACAGCATTATTACACAACTGATGAGTGTATGAGGTGTTTGGGGTGGCTGAGAGTATTGGAGAGGATGTAAAGAGGTTCTCTGAGGTGGTTGATAGAGAGGGGAAAAGGAGCAATATGAGAGGGATGATAGAGGAAATAGGGGCAACATGAGAGGGACGACAAAGGAGGGAATACGAATAACATGAGAGGGATAATTAAAGGACAGGACAGGATGATAAAGAGGGTGAACAAAGGCAACACAAGAGGTAATGTTGCCAGTGTGTGGTGGAGAGAGTGAGAGCCTACACTATGGTAAAAGGGAGATGACAAAAAGAAGATAGAAGACAAAGAAAATCCACAATAACAGAGCAACCTCGAGGCAGCTCATTGTGGTCAGTCCGTTGGGGGAGGGGGAGGGGAACTTCTTTGGTAGTACAGTATGGCATTACAGATAAATGAAGTAGTAACATTGAGGAAGAAATACATGGTGCACTTTTACACATGATTAGCTATTCCCCTCTTTGGTTGATTGGTCAGACCTAATCAACTTTGTGATCCCCTTTCTATGATTGGTCAGTACATTAGGCAGTATAAATGACACGGTTACTGTACGGTATATATATATTTTTTATTCATATCTAGGTTAAGTGGGCACTTTTATAATACTGCTATGACCGTATGGGAATTTTCACCACCTAAATCTGGACTTGTATTGTATTTATATTTTGAATAAAGTTCTTCATATGAACCTGAATACCCCCCCCCCCCTTTATTCTTACCTAATCTTTTTCCTGCTTCTCATTCATTATTATTATTATTATTATTATTATTATTATTATTATTACTACAGTATTATTATTATTACCATCATCATTATTTTCCTTTTATATATTTATTGAAGCAAATCTCATTCATTATAGCACATAATAATATTTTTCTCTAACTCTATTATCCTCAACCCCTTTTCAATAATATGACTATGATAAAATTTTCCATTTTCCATTAATATTTTCTCATGGGTATTAATTTTCACTCTTTTAAGTTGATACACCAGCGTCTTTACCACCTACAGTTAGTCAGCCTGTACACACAGGTCTCCTCTCCTCTACACACTCATCACTAGAAACAGTTCTTCAGGAAATATACTGAGGAAATAGTGAACAAATTGACTGGGCAAGACTAAGAAATGGCATTTAAAAGACATAAAAGATAGTGTTTGGGGGACCATTTTGTAGTACTATAAACAGAGTGGTTAAAAGGACCTAACAGTCAGATGGCAAATTTTAATCTAGACAGGTAAGAATTAAGAACAGTCCATATACATTAAAGGTGTACAGTACAGTGCTGTTTGAAGGTTATGCAATAAATCATATAACATGAGTGTATGTGTGTGTGCTGCTGCATCATGTGGAAGGTAAGTGTGTCGGGTACAGTATTGCACAAGCACTGCTCCTGTGCCACACACCTGCTGGTTCCTTGGGCATATCAGCAACACTGAACCTGGGTTTCTTGCGGGGAGCATTAGGGGGATCTCTTGGAACGATGGGAATCTCACGATGGAACGTGATGCCTTGCATTCCCTTGTCTCGTGTGTTGACAGCCCCCCTCCTGACGTAGCCCAGTTGGCCAGGCCCATAGTAAGGCTCTGGGAGTTATGAAGTCTCAAGTTAGTGAGATTTATAACTCTCAATATCTCATCTTTTCTTTTACTTTAATAACAACAGTAAGAGCAATACAGTACATATTTCTGGTTACCATTGATAACCATGCCTTTCCATTTTACGTAAATAAAACCAACTTGCTGAATTTTCTCCCAGTAATATTCATTAAGTTTGGTCATATAGTTTTAACTCATCTATAAAAAAAAAGTTTTCACACTGACAGTATGGCAGTAAATAACTGTGACTGAGTACTGTATACTGCACACTGAACCATGAAACATTTTTTATGTTATGTACCAGTGTATCACAACAGGGTCTGTAACAGGTCAAAGAAAATACTATCAAAGAAATGAAAATTGTAAAACATTTTTTGACCATTAACAACCTGTCTCAAAATATAAAACAAATTACATGTTGAGAATATTTCCCAGTTACTTAAGATAAAGAATGAGAGAGATGTGGTGGAGCAGGAGAGGAAAGAGTTAGGAACAACCAAAGGTTACACATAGAGAAGGAAGACCAGAATGACTGATCCCATAACAACCAAGGGATCAATAAGGCAGAGGTGAAGATCATGTACATCCTGTTATCAGACTACTGTACTGTTGGGGAAGAATGACAATACCTGTACAGTACATGACACATATCACGAGGTATGACTCGGCACATCTCTGATGGTGATCCCCACACAAATGTAACAGACGAATAATCTTTATGAAAAACTGAATTACATACGAGCTTTACCCCAGACCATTTAAGACGAGTGCATGGTTAATTACTCTTTCATTCTTTCAGTCCTTTTCCTGCTGTAATACAAGGTGGCCATAATCAATATGCTGTACAGCCCTTCCACTCATTTGCTCTGATTCACATACTCATTCTCACTACAGAAACATGGGTGTTCTTTCTCCACAAGGCTTCAGGTACCTATCTGGTTTAACCCCGCTGCTTCACACAAGAGCAACACATCTCTCCCTCAGTGTCATGCTCTCCATTGGTCCATGCACCTCACTACTTCCTGTATATCTGTCCACCCACTTCTAATTTAGCCTTCACCCCATCTTTCCATCTCTTTCTTGGTTTTCCCCTCAAACTAATATTAGTTACAACTCAAACTGATATTAGTTACAACTTACCTTCATAACATGCAATGTATTGAAGAAAAAAATCACTAATAAAGCTTTTACTGTACAAGTACATACAAAATATATCAAGAAAAAAAATTCCTTCCTTAATTGTTATAAATACTAACACCTAAGCTTTACTATCATATACAGTACTTAAAAATACTTTTGTTTCTTTACTACAGGTGTATATTGGTTTTCCACTTAGACAAAGTTATGTCGCAGATATTTATAAACAATAAGGAAGAAGATTATATTTCATAAATTACAACTAAATTTGTTCATCAACAATAAAAATACTAACATCATATCCAACAACTTTACAACACATATAAAGTAAACTCCAGAGCCTCACATTACACTAATACTCTACATATAGTCCTAAAAGTCTCACTATGGGCACTGTACTAATAATCTCACCTCTGTTTTCAATATTAGGTAAGTTCATGGGACCGGGGACTATGTTAGGCTGAGCTACGGCCATCTTCTCTCGCTGCACCGCTGCTGCTTCATCCTTCGCCTAGAAAAATTCAGGTTCGTTAAAATCTGTGATCATAATGGATGTTGTTATATTGGGATAATATTACTTATGGTTACATGATGCTAAACATACTAATAAATATACAGACGACAAAACCAGGGATGGTTTTAACGATTTATAGTAGATTTGGAAAAGGCACATGACACATTTGGTTTTTCTGTCACAAAACTATTGGTACAGTATTATGAACAAAGCAGAGTAATAACTAAGTATACAGTACAGTACAGAGTGTCTCATGGGTTGCACACTATAGGCAGACTAATGTTCTTCTTCTTCAGGTGAAAGAATCCTAATAAAGATAACAAAGACTTTGAGACTAGAGGAAAGACTCAGTTTAATAATTGATAACAACCAAGCATGTTATGATCACCTCACCTGAAAAATACAAACAAAAAAGGTAACATTAATATTCCTACAGTGTGTGACCTATGAGACACCCTGCACAACACATCAACAGCAATCAATAATTTACCATCAACATACTGAACACATAGAGAAAATAAATCAATCAAAGCAGGCATATAATCAAAGCAACATCATTATTATTTACAACAGGTAATTTTAACGAGAGAAAACTGACAACCTATCACAAGCCAGAGATTCACATAAAGGTACAGAACAGGTTTACCGTATATGTTTATCTTATACGGTTTACCACGAAGGTTCTGGGTATGGATGCAAGATACGTTTCTCACACACATTCATGGTTTATTATTTCATCTTCAATATTTTTTTTTGTACTTGTTAGCTGTTGGTGTAAACTTTAGATGCTGTTTGTCTTTATTAGTAGAATGTTTTGTTTAACTTTCTTACTAACACATTCTAAATTTTATTGGGAATTTCTTCAGATAGATGTAGCTGTGACATTTAAGAGTTATCTGACAAAGAGCCAAAAAGAAATTAATGACACTGAGATAATGTATAACAAATGCCCCCAAAAATAAAATAATTAACCATACTCGACCAACAACACATCTGCTCACATCACTCTCACCCACCACTTACCAATAACAAGATGCTTTACAAAGTAGTGATCATTCTCTACAAATAAAAAAAAAACATTTAGAGCAGAAAAAAGTAGCCAGAAATATAAGTACAGTACAGTATCAATATATCCAAAATACCCAAAAAAGCGACAAAATAGCGAGACACCAAGATTCCAACATCGTATCATAAAGCCACAAAGGGAAGACATATATAACTGAAGTATTCATCTCCTTTTGGAATTTACAACACAGGCAATACTCAAGCTCTGGGACAGCACTGTAATACAATGTTCTCAAGTGTTCTAAATGTAACATGATGACAAGAAAAGTGCTGCCCATTACTCAGTATGACATCAGAGCTCTACCTTCGTGTGATCAGCCTCATGTGCTACCGCTGAGGCTTTGAGCTTTGACACATTATCCTGGCACTCAGTCAGCTCAGCAACAGTGTTTGCTATTTTGACATTCGCACTATCCACATTGGTCTTCAGAATCCCATTTCTTGACTTCTCCTGAAAGGGGTTTGAGGAGTGCAATCTAATTAGAGACTTATAGATACTTAAAGAGAAATTAGCCATTGCTTGTGGTGCCAAGGGTAATGCCACATAATAAACCTCAGTGATCAGATATTATTTAAATACATATACCATAGCCACCCCAAACATTACAAGCTCTTAAGCCAACCCAAGAGAAGATTTTGAAGAGTGCAGACAGTGCAACCTCCTCCCATAATACACAACAGTGAAAAATCAACCCAAGATACCATATCCCCAGACACAGACATGGCTTATCTTATCTTATCTTATAGTGAAAGGCAGAGTCTTAGAACTACAACATAAAAGTCATTATTTTTCTGGTGTAATCATTCTACCTTCTGTTCCTTTGCCTTAAGCTCTCTAACCAAGGTTTCAAGCTCAGAAAGTTTATCGGTGCATTCAGTCAATTCACCGAAGGTTATGGTAACTTTCCTCCTTAGATCGTTCGCCGAGTATTGCAGGAGGTTGCTTCTGGATTTCTCCTGCAATAGTTTGAGGCTGAAGCTTCAAAATGATTCTGTGGTTCATAATCTTCCCCAGTAATGATAACCTATTTACTTCTACCTTCTCACCGATCTACTCCACTCCCCTGCCTTTTCATTATTTCATTTCAATATGCTCAACCCCATCTTGTTGGTACTATATAGCTAAATTTCAATGTTTCAAGCATTCAAATTCTTTAATAACAGGGAATCAGGTTATTCATAGCTGCATCTTATATTAGACCAATGTGTTTTCTGAAGCACAGTGGTACTTTTGGTTACAATGAGTGTGTGGTTGTATGAAAATAGGTTCAAGGGTATATGTAACAGGTACAAGGATATCTGCAACAGGTACAAGGATATCTGCAACAGGTACAAGGATATTTGCAACAGGTACAAGGATATCTGCTACAGGTACAAGGATATCTGCAACAGGTACAAGGATATCTGCAACAGGTACAAGGATATCTGCAACAGGTACAAGGATATTTGCTGCAGGTACAAGGATATCTGCAACAGGTACAAGGATATCTGCAACAGGTACAAGGATGGATGAAAACAAGAAACGAGTAGTTGAATATATGATGATCTCAACACATGAAGACCAAGAATGTGGGATAGATGAATGTAAAAGTGCCAAAAAGAAATAAAAATATGAAAAACAAAAGAGAGCCAATGGAAGAGGGTTTAATGAGTATGTCAGAACAACAATGAGGTGAGAGTATGATAAGAGGATGGTCAGTGTGGCATGCTGGAACAAGTAGTGTAGAGCGAGAAAGAAAAAAAGCACAATGAAACACCTAATCCCATCCCATTTTGGGCTCAGAAATCTACTTAAATTATCCCACTAAAGGAGAAGAATTTGGTTCCCTGATAACGAGGAAAACATTAGGTTAGGTTAGGTTCTTGGCCTGAGAACAAGTGAATCCTAGTATGATGGGCTACCAGTGGCCTCCCTGTAGGACTGAAACCTTTGTGGATACATAGTACAGTACTGTATTTATGTTATATATATAAATGCTGTGCAAGAAAATAAAACAAAAATTATAATCTTCAACAAATTAAAAAATAACCATAATACAAATACTTTACTAACAAAATATATATATAAACAAAGGAAAAATATAATTATACAGGAAACAGAATTAAAAAAGACAAAGGGAACAAAATTATATTGTCTACATGAAATTACCAATGTGATGGGTTACAACACAACTGCACAAAGCACTAATACAAATGAGATTTAAAAGAACACAGTGGATTTATGATAACACTGGATTTAAGAGATTATTTTATAAGACCCAGACAAGCTTTACTGTTTATAGGATAACACACATACACACCCAGTTCACATGTCAAAACAACCATCACCAGTACCATTAATACACTGAGACATATTCATCATTTTAATACACTCAGCAGCCTTAACCCATTCACTACAGGGATGCCACCTTCAACACATGTCTTCTATTTGGCCAATACCAGATAATTTTATTCAGCTTAGAGAGAATCCAACATACAGAGAGTTAAATCCTCTAACAGTACATGATAATATTTTCTAACTCTCCCGACACGTAGAGACAGAATGGTCGGTGAGTTGAATTTACCGATTATATCTTGAGGATTTTAAAATCTTAAATCACTCTATCTTATCAGTCACCTTAGGCCTTCACCTTCCCCTCCCCGGCCCCCACTACCTAAATCATTACCTATAAACATAAAACATCAACTGCCAATTTATCTTTTAAAACCACTGGAGGAAAAACCAAGTGCATGTCAAACATTTATAGACAAAACAACAGCAAAAAATACAACATTTATTTATCAGTGCCATTTAAAAAAAAAATCACACAAATGCAGACTCATGTATCGCTCCCTCAAAAGTCATAAGCCAGCCAGTTTGATGTGGAGTTTATACTTTAAAAGCATATACTGTACACAGTAAGTACATGTCAACACAATAGAGGTTCACATGACACATTACCAACATTATTATTCAAAATATGTTTTATTTCATCCACAGTGGCCAGTTTATATTCTGTTACTGTACTTTGTGAATCTCTTAACACCACATCGAGACAACAGGAGTCGTAGTGTTTATTTTTAAATTCATCAGTCCCCTCCGTAAAGATACTTTTTGAAGCGAGTGTACATAACTATAAGAGTTGAAAGACTGATGACGTTTTACATATAATACAGTTGGCTGCAATACTTCATAAAAAATAAAAAGGGAAGTGTGTGATAAAAATAGACGAGACAAGAATAATGGGAAGGAATAATGATTCTTCTGTGTCCAATGGTTAAGTGGGTAGCATCCAAACTTGATAATTTTTGGGGGAGACTTGAGGGTGTTTAATTTATTAAAACAATATTATGATATAACAGAGAATAACAAGGTATTAATTAATGAAAAAGCTGGTGAGTGTTTGCCTCATATTAGCATATAATGTAGCTACTTCCAAACTCAACAAAAGGCCATGTCCTGCAACTTAAAACTGTACAGTACAGTACTGCATTCTGAATCACACCGGATTAACTAATGTACCAACAACATTTTATCAACAAAAAACCCAATGCATATCAGTGATGCAAAACCTATCATTGAAATACTGTATAACAAGGTAACATTATACTGTATGAAGGATCTGATTTATATAGAACCCCCATACAATAGTGAGGTCTTGAACTGAACTCATCACATAATAACCAAGCAAAGAAAAAACCTTGACACAGAATGAGCTGTATTGCCTGAGTTGTTAAAACACTGACTTGCCTTTCCAAAATAAAACCTTAATGAAGACTATCCAATGAGAGAGAGTGAAAGAAACCCTAAAAAAATATCACACTTGAGGAAAGACCTACTGTATGCCTGCCTGGGAAAAAATCTACGGGATACTAACAAACTGTCTGACCGACAAAAAACTGGCTGGTTCAGTCTTTAAAGGTGGATTTTTAGTTTACATTGAGTTTCATTTTAGTATTTTCAATGATAAAATACCTCTGCCAGTTGTTCCTTGACGGTCCCCATCTTGGCTTCAAACTCGCGCTCCACGTCACGTTTAGTCTGAACAACAATATCAGCTAATCCATCTGAAGCACTCTGAATTTCCTCACACTCTTTCTTAAGTGCTACAAGTTCTGAATTACAAGTTGCTAGTGAAATTGTGAGATGTGTTCTTTTCACTGTTACCTATAAAAATAATAATTACACTAGAAAACACCTGTACTTCTCTCCTCTCAATAGACAACTCAACACACAACACAGAAGCTAATAGACACAGGTAGCTGGTGAAATATGACACCTACTGTACGTCAAGATTTTCGCAGATTATTAATTTGCCGCAATAAACCGAAAGTGGGGAAAGATTATATGCGTACTGTACATTCTCGCTCCACTGCACAGACATAACCAAACCGTAATAGTGTACAGTACTTCACGTTCTATTATACAGTACATGTCAGTTTCTAATAAGCACCAAAAGTAAATAAATTTGAACAGTTAATCCTTAACCAGCAGCAAAGAATTCCCTAGTCCACCACCATGTGCACAAAAATGGAGTGCAAGAACATGAACGTCCAATGATGATGGCCGCTATTCCTACAGCTAACGTCCACTGATGATGGCCGCCGTACAGTACTACATACACCAAGACTTAAATTGTTAGTTAAGACAGTTGAATTGATGACAAAATAATACCCCTGAACAAGCCAATTACTACTGCATTAGTAACAGCTACAGCAATGAACCTCTGCTGTTGTCCATTAACCTGATGCCATTCCAATAAGCCAACTTCATATTGGTATTGATAATGTTACATTGTACTAGATCAACACCAAGCCTGTATGGTAAATCTATATAAACATCATTTAGGAATTACATATTAAACAGCACTACATAAAAATCACCCAAAATATATATCTCTTACATATTTTTAAACCACTCAGGTCTTGTTGGCTGGAGGGAGGAGAGGACAGTGTGTTAACAAGCTAATAAAAAACTCTAAATAAACATTCAAATATTTCTACAAAACTAATCAGTCTCATAAAAGAGTAAACAACATGACTATAACAAGACTGCGAAACAGAAGAACTCGAGTATGATTTTTTTGAGAAACTCGGAACAAAAGTCAACAACTCTAACATCAAGACATAAACACAGGAAATATTTCAAAGCAATACTGTACTGTAGTCTCTGACAGGCACTGATAGATAGATTACTAATAAGATATAGATAAATAGATAGATACACAGATAGATAAAAACAGAGATATATTGAATAAATATCTATACTGTACATCTATCTATCTATCTACAGTATCTATATTGTACAGTATAAGAGTTATTCCCCTGTAACATTCACACTGCTTGCCAACACTGTCAGCCAAAACATTAAATAACCTATTAATGGAGTGCCTGAAAAGAAAGGAATGTTCTTATTGTTCAGCTCTGTCCACTAATCATCATGAGCACTGAACAGTGAACATTCTGTACAACACTTAAGTACTGTATAAAGTTCCCAACACATGGCTTCTGTGTACCAGTTACCATTCTTATCATCATTTTATGGTCAATGCTTGGCTGAGGTTAGGTGAGCTACTGCTTCTTTACAACTCCCTTACCTGCTCAAGTTGTCGTTTTAGTGTGTTGATGAGAGTGTCCTTCTCAGCGATGGCCTCCACCGCATCATCCCGCTCTGTGACAAGGCGGAGGTGGGTGTCCTTGGCCTTGACAAGATCAGCATCACGATCTTCTATCTGTTGTGCTAATGTCTCCTAAAATAGTAATAATAAAAAATAAAATAAATAGAAAAATATAAATAAAATATATATTAGACACCAGTGTACCATGCTGAAAATAGTCTAGGCATGTGCAGTTTGATCAAAACATCATTAAAAGCTTGAAGCAAGTTGAAATTACCCTTTGGAATATAAAATTAGGTTAGGTTAGGTTAAGTTAGGCTTGGTTTGGGTTAGATAGCTTTTGATTGAACTACACATGCTCAGAACATTTTCAGCAAGGTACAGTCTCAGCATCTCAGCACATAACACTTGTATAATTTTTTTTAATGATTTACAGAATATTATTAAGTTAAACCCAGCCATGTAGAATGCTATGTACCTGTACAGTACTGTACTGTACATAGGCTACCAGCCCTCCTAGTATTGTTCCATCTTCCAAATCTTCACTATATGATTATTAATATATTTATTCCTCACTGTATCTGTCACCTCAGCTGATGAAAAACTTATAGAAGAGAACAGTACAGATAGACCCCAATCTATGAGTTACAGTCCTGTAAAACCTCTCGTAAATCAATTTTTAATATAACTAATTCCTCGTAAATAAGGGTCTGCCTATAGAGTATTACATATTATGAATGACCAATCACAAAACTCCTTCATATGATGTGAATTTTCTCCGCATGACTTAAACCTTTAAAAGTAAAAAAGAAAAAATGGCAACACTATCGACAGGTGTGTATTAACCACAGGTGTGTACAGTATACCTACCTAACTAAAACCTCAAATGCCAACCATCATTCATGTCCAAACACCTGATATACTTCAATTCATAAGAAGACTAGAATTAGCATTCAAGTGTGGAAATTTGTTTTACCTCATTAGAGTAAAAATAAATATAATGTACAGTATTCCAATGAGAAGAGAAGAGAATAAGAAAAGCAATACAGTATAAAGATAAAATAAACCAGGTTATGAGACTGTCTGCATCATCACTGGAACCACAAACTGTCTGGCTCATAGAGGTCATCTTAATAATCACGAGAATATGGACAACCTCACTGCTTTGATTCACAGATACACAAAAGAAGTTGAAGAAACCCACCAAAAGCTTAAGTTGTACAAGTAAGCTGTGTTCAGCAAGTTATGTAAGGTATCCCTACTTGTTCATCTTTATATATTACAAAGTTGTAGAGTCCCCAGAAAAATCTTTCAGTGTTTTTAAAGTGTAAAATATCAGCCTTTAAACATCACAAAAACTCAACTCCAAGAAGACGAAAAACTGGAAACTATGAAAGAATTTTAGACAAGAAACACTTTTACTGTTCTTCAGATGCAACACAATACAACTCACAATGCGTTCTTGCATCTTGATCAGTTTGTTCTTCAAGTCAGTTATCTCATAAGTTTTCTTGCTGTTATCCTGTTCCTTGTTCTTCAGAAAGTTTTCGCCCTCTTCTAACTTCTTTTTTAACTTGGCAGATAAACCGTCCATTTCATGTACGGTTTCTTGTAGTGCTGCGTTCTTGTTGTCCGACTGTTCCTGCTTCATGGCACTGAAATGTGAGAAAGTAAATGGATCTGTGAGTTTTATCTCAAAAAATAATTTAATAATAATAATAATAATAATAAAAATAATAATAATAATAACAACACCTATACTGGTAATAATAAACAAAGCAGACATTTTAGGCAACATCTTAAGCTCCACCAGAAACAATACAGTAGTATAAAGACAACGAGCCATCACAAAGGTCACACAAGATTGAAATGTTAAGTGATACAAGACTAAGGTTCTTCACCACACACTGACCGTACACTTACAAGTAGCTAAATCATCTTATCCTAGTTTTGACACTTGGTGATTCATCTCATAAATAGTGTCTCATCAAGGGATTATTTTACTCATTCTTTTATCTTTTATTCTTAATTTAAATATATGGTAGTACCTGTACTAGTAAAATTATTGTTATAATCTAGACGTCAGATTCATCAGAATGAACCACTTCAGGGAATTTCTTTTTAACAGAAAATTTGGTTCTTACCTCATGGATAGAAAAAACTAGGTATACAGGTATTACAAATTTCCTTTTCTGGTTTTTCGGTGTTTTCATCCTTAATATACTTCTCCACAACATGGGAAGCTATCAGAGAAGCTGCCATTACTTGTTTAAACATGACCCAAGAGACAAACAACATTTCAGACTTTATTTCTTCCATTATATACACAAGAAAACCTGGCAGCAGCTTATATTATTTATATAAAAATATTAATACTCTACAGTATACCAAAAATAACAAGAATTTATGGCAATTTTTGTATTAGTAGTTCATCAAATTTACCTAAGCAGCAAAGACTCTTCTTTTGCAATGACATAAATAACTTATTGTAAATAACAAAAACCAACCAAACAGGAACTAACTTCCTAGGATTGAAACGTATTATATTGTCATCTATTTCAGGTTATATTTACCCAATAAAAACGAAATGGAAAACAATAAATCGGGATTTTGAAATTCCTCCACCCACTTTGTTCTTTTCATGAGATAAGGATCATAAGACACAAGTTTTCTTCTGTAGAAAATAATCCATTGGCTCCCTCTCATGAGCCTAATGTCTCAAGTATTACCCATAAGGATTCCTTCACAAAATAACAAGGAAAAGGTGGTATTTGTCTCCTAACTTCTGTCAACAACTGAGATATTTATAACATGAAAAAATTAAGTAAACTGTTTACAACATATCAAGACAGGGACAATACACTGACAGAGCGAATGTGATATATATTTTAATGGTTGTTTTAGGCATGAGACAGTTAAGACAGCAAGAAGTAAGTAATACACATGCCAGGGGTGACACACACACACACTCTCACCTTATTTTAATCTCTGCTTGTAATTTTTCCAGTTCTTGTTGTGCGTCGGCATTTTGTGAAGATAACGTCCAGTAATTAAAGCCGAAGATGAGGATTATTATGACTAAACCCACCACAATAAATGGGGGTGTCCGGCCACTGCCTCTTCGTATCATCTTGACTGCCACACAACCAGTTTGTCCCGATGAGTTCATCAGTTCAGTCGCATAAAATGTAAACCAATTTATACATAAATATTTGTTATCATCTATATTAAATACTATTTTCACAACAAATTAACAATAATGCAATTCCTTAAGTATTAATTAATGTTTTGATGTGATAATCAGTTGATACATGGTAGTTTAAGCCGTGGTCAGACTACAGGTCGGGAAGGTGTCCACAGATGACAACACAGGTGCCTGGCAACCTTATAGTCATTCAACAACGCTCTATGATGTTAACTATATATAAATACAGTAGTACATTAAATAATACATCCATGATATTGTTGTATATTCAGATATATAAGGGTTGGTATAACACATGTTTATTAATAAACTTAACAACATTACCCGTGACGGCCTCTAGTACGAAGTAAATAAGTCTACTCATTTGATATTTCAACTTATTTTACCTTGATTTATAAATAATAACCCAATTTGGATGAAATTTAACCTAATTGTGATTCAACTTACATATTTTCTGCCTTGAAACAAGTTCAAGTGAACATAATGGTGAATGAATTAGCTTGATTTATTTCCTATTCCACGTACACATGACTGCCCTGGTGTCTGTAACAACAGGTACCTGGTGACTCACAACTGCTGCAAGTAACAACGAGAGAGTAGTCCCGTTACAGGTTATCTCAATATATTTTACCGGATATGAAAGCTACAAATGTGTTGACGTCACCTTTTAATTCATGTACTATAATTAAAGTTACATGAAGCTTTTTCGGTATCATGAAATAGTACTAAATGAGTACAAAGTACATAGTCCGGCAAGTAATAAAACACTGCATATCCAGTCTTGCCAAATGTCCATCTTTACCTGAGAGAGAAGCCTTTGCATGACCAATAACCTACTGATTATGTTTCATCAAAATAAATCAACACACTTTTGGAGACTCCAATGTCAATCATATCCAGCATCTAAACTTTCCATTCTGAAATATTGTAAATATATTCTCTCTTGGCTAATATCCAACTTGTATGCTGATAAGTGGTAAAAATAAAAAAACAATAAAAAATAATTGATCAACATATTTGTCTTTGATTTGTGATTTGTATGACGTTTATATAGTGTGGTGTGTGTACTTGTATTTATATTTGAACTATACAGGAAGTGGTTCTTTAATTAAACAGCATCAACACAATGAATTCCCTTATGGTCACTGTCCATTACTACAGTATCTGGGCACTGTCTGATTGATACCTGACAACAAAAGCTGTAAGAGATTGTGTAGTTTGGAGAAGTGTCATCAGATAATCCATATAAGTGTGGAAAATAGTTGTAAAAGAATGATAATATTCAAGAAACATTAAATGGTGCTGGTAATTACTGTTGCATCTTGTACAGGTGTCTTGTGTGGTACCAGTTCTATGTAAACAGGTAAACCCACTTGGGTCCAGTTTCCCTCCAGCTGTTTTGACTGATAGTCTCTAGACTGTTTGTCATAAGGCCACAGTTGGTGAGACGGAGTAAATATTGGTCAATATTTGAGTTGTAAAAAAAATATTTCTGGTTAGAAAGAAAACAGCTCCAGCTTTCCTGGTGTTTGGAGACTTACGAATACTGTATCTCACAGGTAAGTGGTACCCGGGTGTATAATGCCTGGTCTCTGTGAATAGCACAGTACTTATTGACACTAATAAACCCCTTTCCCCCACAGCTGTTTCCTGATGTCATTCCATGTTTGAGTGAGAAGCTTTTGTGGAGTCAATGACAGGAAATTTGAACAATGAAATTTAATGAAAAGTGATTAAGTATTCAGGTAAAAAGCAAGACAATAAATTATTTAAAGTAGTACTATTCTGTATAATTAACTTACCTGCATACAGTATTGTACCAGTTTTCATGTTCATTCCCAGTTTGTTTTCCTCATATTTTTGGTTAACCAGATGTCACACACTACAAGTAAGAAGAGAACAGATGAGGATGTAAGTTATTATGGGTAGTTTGTTATTGATAAGAGCAAGTTTCATACCAGATTCCCATTAATCTTTAAATGCCAGCCATCACCGGTGGAGGTTTCATGTGTTCCAAGTTTTGCACATATGGGGGGGAAGGAGTAGGTAGTTCATTTTCCTAACATATTTGGATATGGTCTAACATTGACACTTACATTAATATTCTATCAAAATGTAAAGAAAAGTTTCCACAATGTAATTCTCTCCATAATACTGAATATTATTACCACATTCATTGTACAATACACAATTCTTTTTGAAAATTTTACTAAGTGAATGTTGCTCTTTATAACCATGCCTCTCCTCAACACCTCCATATTTGCCCTCTTACCAATTTTAATGCTGTTAGTTACTACAGTATTTCTTAATCACAATTTCATAAATTAGTCCCTTTATAATATCTCCAGTCATTGTACAGTATTGTCACGTGTCAATGTTTCTCTAAATATGCACAGGGGATCCCCGACTTACGAACACCTGCCGATACAAACAGGATTAAAGTTTAAATTTATGGTACAGTACTAGTATTTTATTTACCCGAGGACTTATTTTTTACTTAGGGTACATTTACTGTATTTTGTCATTCTATTTCTTCTTTTGTCTTAAATTAAAACATTTTAGATATATATAAGGACTTAGGCTATGATATACAGTAGATTTTAAACATTGTTCTGTAAGTACGGTATGCATATAGCATGCGTTCCGACTTGCGTACAAATCTGATTTAAGGATGCCCTCAGGAAAGGAGCCTGTTTGTAACCCGGGGACCCCCTCTATATGAAAAGGTACGTTTTTCATACAGCTGAAGTTTCCATGTCCATGAATCAGTTCACCGGATAGTGTACAGCAGTATTGTTTTAGGAATAAAAACCAATACTTACTGGAAATCCATTATTTTAATATAACTGATTACATCAATGCCCAACATATGCTGCTTTTACAAAACATCTGAATGGACTGCAAAATAGACTGTGTGGTCCACATGAACAACTAAACATGCATCCACCATATTAGAGTCCATTGCACAATTTATGATTGTGGCTCTATGATTTGGTGAGAATATTCAGTAACATCGTACACACCATTTAGCCTCCAAAAATAGCTATGCCTTCTCAAACAGTGAGCACAATCATTGTGCCTCTTTATAAAAAAAAATTAATTTATGCAGATGAGTTTACTCCATCTTTATATCAGTATCTGCTGAATAAAACATCACAATAAGTACCTTTCACTACATCACTAAAAATTTATGCACTCAAAACATGAATTGGTTTTACTATAACAAACATACACTTTAAATAGCATGCATCATGGCAAGTGCAGCCTCACATAATGCTCCCTAACATTTTTCAATATATTTAATCCTAAGATTTTTAATTTGTTTAAAGCTCACCATAATATCTTTGAAACTGTCAAATCCATAATATCTGAGACAGACACGTGAAACTTCAGAGAAAATGTGAGGGAAGTCATTCTCTCAGTACTGTGTATAATTCACAAAATGTTAATAAAGCACAAGACACTGTACTGTACAGTGTCAGCTCTTAACACACCTAGGGTGTACAGTACTTGCATGCTGAATAGTTTATTTATTACACGTAATTGCAAAATACTGATGTTAAGGAGGTATAGAAGTCATGGATTTGACAAAGTTTACAGATCACATTCCTAAAAATATATATCTTAGTGTCATTTTAACAAATTATAGATAATATTCCAAAATATTGATAAAATTATTAAATCTGTACTACACTAAAGTTGGATACCTTTTCAAGGATATTTCTTGATAGTGAGCTTGGCTCATAGCTTATCATTTTAACTATTTTACCAGAAGTTTCATACCATTCCTAGGTTGTGACTCCAACAGGCATTTATTTACATCTATATATAGTACAGTACAGTACCTACAATTTACTATGGGGCTGAATAAGCAGCAAGTACAGTACAGTATATGGAAACTTGCCGAACATTTAGCCCGACCAAACCACTTAATATCATCACAGTTAGCAGCCAACAATGACAACAACTCAGCAATGCAACATTAATTTTTCTAGTGAGAGATACAGTATAACTAATGTTCACCTCTAGTGTTAGCTAAGATAAGAATATTTTTATCTAAGTACTGTATACCTGTTGGTAAAACTTCACTATGGGTCCATCACATTAATGTTTTAAGAATAAAATGCATACCAATAGGTATGACAAAAATATTTGTGTTTTTTCACAGAAGAGAGCAACTTTTTATGATACACAGTGTATATTAACTGTTTAATCACTGCTATATGACAGCAAATTCGTCTCTTCACGAATTTTTTCTTTCAAGTTTGACTGTGTTCACCTGCCTAACATTTGTCAGTATTCCAATCAAAATTTGTTTTGTGATCTTGTGCTTTTTTATTTCATCTGTTGTGCATCAAATTTCAGAATAATAGCACCATATTTTGATGATGTGCACATTTTAAATCACAGTAACACTAAGACTGAAGAAGGAACTTATATACTACAGACTAATCAAAGTTTATTGAATTTAATGTGACTAGAATACTGTACCAAATGGAGTAATTACCATAGTATTAAACAAAGTATTTGATTTGCTTAAAAGTGTGAATACCACATTCACTGACACTGGCAAACTAGTTTTAGCATATTACTTGTTATGCCTGCTGGTGTTGCTATGATATATATGACAACAATACCTTCAAGCAAAACACTGTGGCCACCTATGAAACAAAATGTTGAATACCAGCATAAAATCTTATAAAAAGCTCAGTTAATGTAAATACAGTTGTTAATGAGAAGCTGCCAAGTAGTCTATGACTAAATTTATGATTATGATCTAGTCTTTAAGTAACAACTGAAAAATGTGTAGGAATGAGTGGGTTATCATCATACATGTAGAAGTATAATAAACAAATTGAATAATTCTGGTACTATGAACTTTCTCACTCCTGTATGACTTTGGCACTTCACTCTAGTTGCTCAGACAAGAACACATCACAATATAGATACTGACAAAATGCCAACAACATTCTACATAGATCACCATAACTGAGTTCCTTAAATGGGTATGGAATGGGCTGTTTAAACATGGATTCATCTTTTATGGTTATAAGTGCAGAAAATATGGTTGAAAACAATGAACAGATGACACATAAATAACATATTAATAATCTGTTGCCTTTCAAATTATTGTATATAAATATGAATTTGCTGTAATTAATGTCCTCATAGTTTATCATTCCATAACTGTACAATTTCAGTGGTGAAAATCTTAACCACTTGTATTGTACATTCAAGACTACAAACACATACAATAAATACATACACCAAAAGAAATACAAAATTCCCCCAAAATAATATTCCATTGTACTACGACCATGAATGGGTTAAAGTGGGCAAGCAATTCCCAAACTTTAAGTGAAGCACAGTAAAATGTCAGACAACCATACCCCAAAAAATCTCAATACTGTATTATATCTTCAAAAATAATGCATGAAAACAAATGAAGAAACAGTATGCAAGTGTTTTTGTTCTTTTTCTGGCCATACTTGCTTTATTTTATTTATCTTTTCACCACTTATTAGGTTAGTACAGGAGGATAATGGAGTCTGGGGAACCTGTAATGTTTGATAAGGTCACACGGGATAACACCCTTCTCACATGTGCCCGGCCTAAGTAGGACTCGAACCCGTGATATACTACTGTATACAGTACTGTAGTATTGGTGAAAGATAAATGCTTTAAACACTAGGCCGCTTGAAAATAGATTACACTACAGTACTTGTATTGTAAATAATTCTCCAAGTGACATATCAACTAAGCTTTCCCAACCTTAGGCATCTTTAATTAGCATTTGTAATAATTCATGAAAGTTGTTATTCACCGAGGGTCGTGTTGCCACATCGCTGACGTAGCGGTACAATTCAGTAAAGAGCAACAAATCGGTTTCCACAGATTATGACAGTGCTAAGAACACAAAAAGTATATAGAGCTTATTCAGCAGACCAGTTATTGCTCAGTTACAACAAACATCTACAGAGTACTAAGAAATCTACAAGTATGAAATATGGAGAAAATAAACTAAATTTACTTAAATAATTTTCAAGTTAATATGAAAAAGACAATATGACAATATCTTCTCCTAGCAAAGTTCAAATTAAATAATGGTTGAAAAATTAAGAAAATATTCCATGAAAATATTTTCTTATGTAATAATTTTTCATCTTATATCAAGTTTGTTTATTTTGGCATGTTGACACAGTACTTTGTAACATTCTAATAAACTAAGAACTGTTGCCCACCTGAGGATAAATGCCACCGCACACAATAAGTCTCCAAATTTTGTTGTTGTCGGGAATGTGATAATGCGTATGACAACTAGCACCCCTGAAATTACAAATACAGTGACAAAAATAAATATTATAGTATAAGGTCATTTTTGTATCCGAGAACCCTAAACGATTATTATATTTTAGGACACACTTAACCATAAAACACAGCCTAAAACTCAGACTATTCTTACTACTTATTTTTAGGTTCCTGTTTATTGTATGTCCTAAAATCTAGTCATTAGTTAGGGTTCTTGAATAACAAAATGTTCCTGAATAAATACTACAGTATATAAATACCACATAGGTTATCACTTGTAAATTAAGCTACAACTAATGTACTTTCATGTGAGGATTTTTATTTTGAGGGGAGAAAGATAATTAACTAATGGTTTCTGGAAACGTAAATTCTGGTTGACACTGCTGTTGTACGACACTGATGTACTATTCTGTTGGCTCCCATCACGACATGTCCATCATATGTCTCATCTTTATGTACAGTATTTGCTCTGATGCACATATACACACACACACACACATCACAAACACACACAGATATACACACACACATTCTTTTGATAACCCACACAGACATCTTCTCTCAGCCTGTAATAACCCTCAGACACATACTATCTCCCACCATGTCTGTACCAGTGTGTCTACTTCAACCAAAACAGACCCAGACATCTCCTGAAAATTCATTGGCTTTAATACCTACGTGTAGTAAGCTACTTGATCCGCGACTGACTATAGTTGAGTTCAGGTTAAAAGACTATGGTAAATATAAATTCAAAATTATCAAAATAATCTATACAACACGCACTATCTTTCAGTTTTTCGTGAATGATTGAAAGACAACAGTAACATTGTTCTCGCTTGTTGATGTGTGAGGTCTCCCAAAAGTGAGGACAATGCTGTTGTTGTAATACAGGCATTCATGTGATCTCCATGGAAATCTGTAGGGCAGCGTGTACACATTTTGAGACACCCTCTACAGTACATGTATAATATGTCTTGCCACAACATAAAACCTTAATTACTATATGTGCCAAGATATAGTGACTGAAATGTTTAAAGGAATACTGCATAGGTCACCTAACCTTTTGTATATATAATAAACTACTGCATATAAGTGTGACATGTACCAGGTATAACCATAATGTTGTAGTGTGTGTGTGCAACATTTCTACTTTATCAGTGGATATGACTAGTGAAATATACCCTTATAATAGTAACATAAGACTTGAAAACAAATCTTAGTAACCAACAAAGGCACCAAAAGTATGAAAAAAGACAAAGTATAACAGAGAGATCAATACATCCATCTTACAGGGTTGGTGTGTTCACTCCAAATATTTATGGAATGTTGCTTGCTTGATTTTATCGTTTTTGTCAAATGTTGGGTTATGAGTTGATTGGCCAGTCATTCAAGTTTTTGTGTTGCACTGTTGACACATACTTGACATTGACAGGCTCTTGATTATACAATGTGAACATGTTCTGGTGTTTGTCAAGCCTAGTGGACCTGTAGGAAAATACCTTAAGCATCTCCTCATAATTAAATTAAAGTGAACTTGTGCATTCTATACCAATACAAATTTTTATTCTCCATAGAACTAACACCAAAATCACATTCCACTGTAACACAAATAATAAATTCATTAATAACAACATATGCATTCTAGATAATATTATATAAATACATTATGGTACAATTACATAAACATGGGAACATTTATACAGTAAAACCTCTGAAATCCATTGACAAGTTATCCTGGAGTCTCAAACAACCAGCACCTTTGGGACAGAAAATGAACTTGGTGCTCAAAGAACAGATGATGCACTATTTTGAAGGCCTCACCTCCCACCTTACCCCACCCTTGATGAATACACACATCAGTTATATTTATTTGAGTCAATGTCCATTGTGCAATTTTGTGGAATTTGTACTACAGTACTCATGTGTCTACAGTACTAAGCTCCTTGGATTAACAAATGTTCAGAAAAGACAATGTACAAATACTGTATTGGTATGACCTTATTCCCAACAGGTCTGCATTTCCAAGGGCTTACTGCTTATACCTGTAATTTAAAAAATATTCATCAAAATTTTGTGCAACATTATGAGGGCAAGTTCCCGTATATATATATATATATATATATATATATATATATATATATATATATATATATATATATATATATATATATATATATATATATATATATATATATATATATATATATATATATATATATATATATATATATATATATATATATATATATATATATATATATATATATATATATGAGAGAAATAGAAATTTCCAAACAAACCAATATTGAACCCTAGAATAATCATAAAAAAATATATATGGAATCTGCAGCTCAGATAAGTAACATCCTTGGTAGCTCAGATTTAAATTGACTGACAAGACTCGATTTGAATACAAAAATACACCACATTAAAAAAGCAATGAAATTTCTTACCAGTTTTTATAGTGGTACTGTATAAGGCTTTGTCAAATTATATATATATATATATATATATATATATATATATATATATATATATATATATATATATATATATATATATATATATATATATATATATATATATATATATATATATATATATATATATATTGCCACTAATACTTGGTAAAAAATACGAAGACTTCTTTCCGAGTTCTCAATTCATCTGATACATGATAATCTACATGATGTCTGGGAAAATATACACACTGCCTTTGAGATACTCGTGCTTGAACTGTATCACAACATTGTCCTTACTTGTTGATGTGCGAAGATGTCCACAAGTGAGGACAATGTTGCTGTTTTAATACAGGATCTCCATGAAAATCTCTTAAGAAAGTTTGTATAGTACAGATAAAAAATTGTCTAAGACAATAACGCTGACAATAAGGGGCAGATAGAGGATGGTTGCCACGACAACATCCACGCCTAATTTTGCATTTCTGTACAACTATTTTTTTTTTTTTTAGTCAACAGGATAATTTTGTTAATATAATTTAAACTAATAATGGAAAATACTTTGTCACTGCTTGCTCTATCACTATCACAACTCGATTTCATTATTGTCAACCGTTGAGCATCAGTTTATGCTTCACAATCACGGGAAAACTTTGCCATTTGTGCGGTTTCCTAAAAACTTTGCAATGCACAACAACTGATGGACTCCACTTGATAATACATCGTACACATCTGAAACTTGTGCTTATATGTTATACAAAAATAGTCAACTTCATAACATCCTTTGAAAGCCTGTGATTATCATTACCATGCTTTATATATTGTCAGTTTTAACACTAACAGTAATGTACTTAAGCTAGAATATAATGCAATATTAATTAGATATACTGTTTATATAGGAAAGGAAAAAATCTTGATCTATATATTTTCTGAAATATGTAGCCATGATTTCAAACACCTTTACCTAAATGGGATTTTAGCATAGGAAAACATCTTGTGACATTTTCACTAATATTTTTTCCATATATAAACAATTTCACACCCAAATCTTTGAAAGCATGGAACAATATTTTGCAATTTCCAAACACTGCTAGTTAAGGACATGGCATACTCTGGATAGTCATGAGTTGGCAACACTGGAGACAGTCGACAGCATAGCCAAAGAAGATGCTTTGGCTGGGAATGACTCATCAATATTTAAACATGTGTAAATTATTCTTGTGATGAAGAGGTTCACTGGTTGTTGACTAGTGCAGTAACGAGTGAGACAACTGTGCGGTCCAGCCAGGTAACAGCTCGTGGAATAATGTAACCACCGTCGTAATAGCCGAGATGGCCTCCGTGTTCTGTTTCAATATATAAGGAATTCTTGTGGGTTTCTGGAAAAAACATGAGAAGTCATACAGTAATGTAACTAACTAGTCATGTAGCTAGTAAGATATAACTGTGTATAATATAAACTACTTTCTCTATCTACAATGTAACATCTTTTCCCATTATTTAAATACAGTATGGCAAAAATTATAGCATCAAGCCTTAAGCATTTCCATTATACCAACTGCCTCAACACCTCCACCTGTCAACTACCCACCATCAATGCTTCAAACAAGTAATGTAAGAATATTACCTTAGTTTATATTTTGTAATAACAACATAAGAAAAACTAAAAGTTGTGTTTATATCATCATATTTGTTTTGCATAAATTTTCTTGTTGCATCATACTTGACACAAAGTTGTCTTAAGCCTCACAGACTCACACAACTTGACATTAACAGAAAAGATTTACAGTACCCAGTAAAAACCTTCACATTAGATTTTAATTTCCCTGCCAACACCAACACATTATTGTTACATTCATACAGTATAAAGGTGTCCCAGAAAGACTACAGTGCAGCAATATAATAACATAGTAGCTTAAACATAAAAGTTGTGAGTTTGAACTTACTGACAAAAGCTTGTGGAATGCTGAGCATGTCTGGATGCACCAAGGGGTCATCCCTGGCATTGATAAACACAATAGGGACATGTACATTGTGTAAGTAATTTGCAGAGCTGTCGTTTCGATATAACTCTTCTACACTTCGAAAGCCATAAATTCTCCTGAAATCAAAACATTGAGGTTCTTTACATGAGGCCTGCCTTAGTATCATTTAAAGTTCTACAAACAATACCTAGATTACTTTTCTGAAATAATATATCATTCCATATTTTTTAAGACAAACAAGTTTATTATTATTGATATGCTGACCTAGTGTAGACCTCATCCAGTTCTGGCAGTGTAGCTGCTGACATGACTCGTCGCTCATCAATGTTATGTTTGCGTTTCACTTCTTCTGTGAGCAATGCTTCTTTGTGTTTAATAATGACTGACCGCATGTTCTCTGTCATAGAGAAGAGATATATGCGTGCCAGGTTGTGCCATTCCAGTAAGTACTTAAGGCCTCTGTAATAAAAGAAAAAAATAATAAATCCGTAAAAAATAATGAAAATGATTAAGAAAAAAAAAGAAGTGAAATGTTATCAATATTCAGTCAATGTCCAAGTTTTTCCTCTTTAACTTTGCCAAACCCAATTATAAGTCAATGGTATACCAGTACAGTATTAGATATATTATTGGGAATATATAAAGTATTTCTATTGACAGTAAATTATTGTACGTGAACTTTTTATTAAGTAATATATCCACTGAAGAACACAAAGCTCATGCAAGATTAATTCAAATCTAACTGAGTACTGTACACCATCACATATACACTTGTCACCATCACTCACATACCATTGTAGCATAAGCTATAACACACAAAAATAAGAGCACTGCACATCTTGACCGAACTGAGGAGGACTGTACAGTACTGCAGGTTACAGCCAAATATAAAGTGCTCTCATGTTTCTGTGCTGTACTGTATTGTCTCCTACATTGAGATTTCAGAGTTATGATTAAGTGGTACAGGTATTACATACAGTAATATCTTCAGTTACATGTAAGTTTATAAAAACGAATTCCAAGCTAGTATATTTAAAGTTCTTGTTGCTATTTGATATACCATAAGTGTCATCATCAAGGGGGTGAGTAAGTCAGCTCCCAAAGGTTTGCCCTAATATTATGAAAACATTCTACGACAATAACTTGTTGAAAAAGTCGTATACAGTACTACACATTTGTTGATTTTAAACAGATACAATCAAACTGACAGGTGCTACATGGAAAAGCTGGCTGTTAAGGTTCCATGATCCCTGGGTCCTGTCACTCTTTATGTAAGTAGATAAACACTCAAACATTAACATCACCAATCCTTGGATATGACTGTGAAGGAAATTGAGGAGAAACACAAGCAACCTTAACTTACGCAACAGCATCATAGCCCTGACAGATTGCAATGGCTCCAATGATGTTGTCTGGACGGACTCTTGTCATCTCTCCTAAATATTTGGTCACAATGTTCCCTCCCATGCTGAAGCCAACTAAGAGGAGCTTTGTGTCTGGGTGTGATTCCACGAACTTTGTCAGCATCAAGTGTAACTCATCTGTTTGTCCTGTAAAGATTAAAATTATAATTAGTAAAACATTTCAGAATTTAAAAGCTACATTGATTGCATTTTCTCTCTGGGAAATTTATGTTACAAAGCACACTGAACTCTATTGTACGACTGTCCCATCCAGCCACAGTACAGCAAAAACATCGAATTAGTTTATGTATGAATACAAATCATAGACAACTCATCACTGCAATACGTGAAAACAAAGCCCAGCAGCTAACCATATCGGAAAATCCTTGGGCTGGTAACTTTGAGGTGTGGGAGGACGCCTAGATGGTTGAGCACCACACACCGGTAACCCTGTGAACACGTTAAAGACACCAGGGACCGCACGTATGTACTCTCGCTACTGTTGGCTATTCCTGGGCAGACAGCAATAGTGTAGTCCTCTGGAATAAAAGAAACAATAGAATCTAGTTTAGTACAGTTACACTATGGGTGATGAGGCTATACTGTTTAATGCTTGTTGAACCAATTTGACTGAATATCTATATCTATATACTGTACTATATCTATCTATTCATCCATCCCCTCTATCTATCCAGCTATCTATCTATCAACAAATACATCTCTTTGTTTCTCGCAACATACATACATACATACTCATATTCATACATACATACATACATACATACTAACACAACATACACACATACACAACATACGTACGTACATTCATACACAACGTACGTACGTACGTACATACATACATACATACATACATACATACATACATACATACATACATACATTCATACATACCACTGAACTGAGAGGGACCTGTTGGATCATACACATCCCAAGTGACAGTGGCGCCGTCCTCCTGTCTGGCAGCAATACGCCGAGGCATCACATTAGGGCAGTAGGTGCGTCCCACAGTGGCATGAACGATAGTCTGAAGGTGTCCGCTGCAGCCCCATAGTCTTACTGGGACATACCTGTGAAAATAAAAGCCACGTCAGGAAATGTATAGCATGAAAACAAAATACCTTCGTTTTCTAATTACCGTAAGCTGTTATTTTTCAGCTCTCTCTCTCTCTCTCTCTCTCTCTCTCTCTCTCTCTCTCTCTCTCTCTCATCTACTGCAGTATTTGCTTCAGTCTCACAAACCAAATTCTGTCTCTAAAATACTGTACTTTTTCTCTTTCGTCTCTCACTCTCCTACCTGTACCTCACCTCTCTCACCTGTACCTCACCTCTCACACGCAACACTCTCCCTCTCTCTCACCTGTACCTCACCACCTCTCTCACACACAACACTCTCCCTCCTCAAAATCGATCCTGGTGTGGTGAGGGCCGCCAAGGTCACCCCAGCCACCCAGAATGTTATATACTCTTCCCTAACGTAAACAAGTGGTGATAATTATAATGATTCCTCGCACCAGTTGTTATCATCATCATCATCATCATTATTTTTATTATTATTATTATTACTATTATTATTATTATTATTCTCTTATTATTAATCTCATCATTCTAGGGATTATCATATCACAAAGGTTAGCATTTACTAATTAATTCAAGAGTGTGAAGAATCAAGTCAGTGTTTTCGTAATTATAATGAGATGGGAGCAGAAATGATGATGGTATAATGATTCACCTGTAAGTCATTAACACAGACAACAGGTATACACTACACTTCCTTAACTGATATTTCTAAAAAGTTGGTGATTCTGGCCGAGGAGGATGTTTGTGGGAATTCTGGCGGGGAACCAATCAAACTGTGTGCAGCAAAAGGGAGTTGTGGATACCGACACGAGTGTTGGTGTCAATATTTACCATAGCCAGAGTTTACTGCGATGGTGGGTGATGGTGGTGAGAGTGGTAGTGATTGTTTGGGTGGTGGTGATGGTGGTGTTGACTGTGTGGGTGGTGGTGGTGACTGGGTGTTGGTGGTGACTGTGTAGGTGGTGGTGACCAATTGGCTATGGTGGTGAGTGTATGGACAGTCATGTTAATTAAGAATGTAAACAGTGATTATATTTAGTTTTATATTTACAAATAATTTACGTAAAGACATCCATAAAGTTATTAATCTTGAAGTGGAATAAACCGAACGGATGAATCTTCAGGAGACCGGTTGTTTTGTTTTCGTTCACTTGTACAGACATCGAGCTCCCCGGGTCCTTGGTACTGTCATCTCTCTCTCAACACTGTCATCCATCACAGGGAATGACAGCCGCTGAGAGTAAGTGTGGTGGGCAAGATGAAGCAGTTGTGGGAAAGGGAAGAGATATTTTTGGGGGGAGGAGGGGAAAGACTGAGGGAAAGAGGAAGAAGTGGAGGAATGGAGGGGGGTGGGAGAGGTCGGGGAGGCAGTGTAGGTCGGCGTGGCACGTCTTCTTTAAGGCGTGCAGGACCTGTGGCCTTTACCGCAGTGACACAGCTGCTGTACCCCGCGCCTTCCCTCCAGCCTAACCATGACTTTTGTTTATGATACACCATCTAGCCAAACCTAACCATGACTTCTTTTGTTTTGTTTGGACAAGATCTAGCCTAGCCTATACACGCATTCCTTCTTCCAGGGCAAAATTTCGCCTATTCTAACCTAAAGCTCCCTTGCCTTGCCTGCCAAACCGAACCTTAACCTTAAAATCCAGCAGATGGGAGTTTGTCTCTTGTGTTGAGATTATTGTCTAGTGGAGAACTGACTGGTGAAATTTTCTCCTGTACGATAAATCTCGGAGGACGTAAGCCTTTATATTATCTGCAGCAAAACAATTTGAGTCTGGCCCGGTAGGAATTTTGTCCTCTGGGAATGCTACCCACGTTTAGGCACCATTGACCCGAGTCCGTACAAGAGTTGAAGTACTCCACCAACCCGGAAATCACGGTGTCAGAGTTGGTCTTTTGTGTTGGGTCAGGCTTTAATATTTCAACAACTTGGCCGCCAGCCCCTCATGACACGTGACGTCATATAGAGGAGGAGGAAAAGGTCAAGCTGGACCGAGACAAAGGAGACCTCGGTATTGCTAAGGTAGAGATGGATAAACAGATGGGTAAACAGACTTAAGGATTATGTAGCGTTTTGAGAGAGAGAGAGAGAGAGAGAGAGAGAGAGAGAGAGAGAGAGAGAGAGAGAGAGAGCACTGCACCATATAACAACAACACGCTGTGCGGTACTACATGTTACTCGCGAACTCCGAATTCCGCCGACCTCGAGCCCTCTCCAATACCGCTCAATTATCCCAAACATGCGAGTGATCTTATCTGAGGAACAAAAATAACTCATAACATGTCTATTTGGGTTCACAGTTCAACGCGAATGAATAATATAACAATTTCAATCCATTCCATGACATTTTCTTCTTGCATTAATATGTCACCTAGATTGAATATTTAACCAATAACAAATATATATATATATTCTCTTACTATATTTATTCCTCTCAGATGGACCAAGAGTATATGTGAACGCTGGGAGATTCTAGAATGATCCACGGGTCTAAAAATAGTGCACGGTTATCAATTCTAACATCGCGACTAATATCTTGCAAGTCACATAACCTCAACACAAGCTCCTAAAGGATCACAGTCACACAATAAACAAATTCGAGTCAATGGTTCATCTAAAATTCTAAACTAAAACACAAATTTAACGTATATAATCTTTTTGTATAGATCTGTAGGTCAAGTTTGTCTCCGAGAAATAATTAAACCTTATCAAGTGTAGATAGAAAGTCAATGTAATTTTGATGGTCTTGTTGATATTTTTGGTTTTAGCTTAAATTTCCTGGTTGGGTTCATTGCAGATTTTTACTCACAAGGTTCCTCGAGGGTTCATCTCAGGCTCTACACCCTGAACTGACAGCTAGTGAGCGACAAAGACAAACTGATCAGTCATGGTGTGTACGGCGCCATTTACGATGACCTTCTTGCCCTGGTCTTTTTCAGCAATATCGCCTTTAATACATGGAATCCTGCACTTTTCGAAGCTTTGGAGGAGTCTCGAAACAAGTTTCCTGGTGGGAATTATTAGCTAGTGCTGTACTCAAAATATCGAAACTTCGAGATCTCTCCAGAGCTTCAAAAGGGTGGTATTCCTGAAACAAGATCAGGGCAAGAAGGTCATCGTAAATGGCGTCGTACACCCCGCGACTGTTCTTGCAATTGGCCCAGAGAACGAAGACTTGGATCTCAAAGCCGCTTTAAATTTTACCTTGAACGTTACCACCTGCATCTCGTCACCGTGATCTCGTTATGATGCATCCGTTAAGTTTCCTTCCCATTGTCTCAAAGTTTCATCCAATTTTATTAGTTTTGAGGTGTTGTAGTGAAGTACTGTCCACCTTAGCTATGAGCGGCGAGACAAAAAGAATGTTTCAAGAGACAAGAGGCTACTGAAAATCTGTAAAAGGTATATGCTGATGGATTCTCTAATCCTCTAGGACGAATCAGAACCCAAAAACTAGTTTTATGATTGGTTCTCTCTAGCTAGCATCTACAAATACCAGAGCAGTCGTTATCATACGTTTCATAAGAACTTAAAACCCATAAAAGGTGTGTATCTATAGCCATCATCCGAACAAACAAATATGAACTCAAATCCAGCCCAAAGTATATAATGATTGGTTCCCTGGCTAGTAGCGTTAAAAGGGGGTGGGGGGATTGGCTGCTCTTGCTGGGAGATGCATCATCCATTTTGATAACCCTGCCGGCGGATCATGAACATCGCATCTAATTATATTTTAATTTTCAATTATAGCTTTTTTCTGGGTCAATGGTGGGGGAGAGGGAGCCAGATTCACCGTGAGGGGTCACCTGGGATTAATGAAACTCGCTGGGCTGGGTGCACCTTTAAGGAGAAAAACCCACCTTTCTAAAATTAGCCTAGTCTAACTCTTATCGGACCGAACCTAACCTAATCCAACCAACTATCTAACCTAATCAGCTTATAATTACCCTTCTTGAGCACCTAACCTACCTATTTAAGAGACTATAGAGATAACAATTATTCTTTAACCTCAAGAGTGGCTCACATTCTCACTCCACATTTTGTTTTCCCGCGGCTTTCTTCCCAGGAAATTCTGACTCGAGTTCTTTTTAAACAGGAAACATTAAGTGTACCATCTTAAATGTCATCAATAACTACAGCTAATAAGGGCGCGACGATGGTACACGGTATAATATGGTGGATCGGCGTGGGAAATACGCGCTAACAAAATTAACATAATCTTTGCTAAGAATTCTGTAATCAATATTGTCCGCTCATTGTGTTAAGTGAATGTATCTTGGTATTCGAGACTCTTACGATAATTCTGATATTTTGGACGATATTTTTGTAAAGAGGAAGATTCATGGAAGGGTTAGAGGTATATTCATGAAAGGGTTAGACTCTAGAGGAAGAGTTAGAGGAATATTTATGGAAGGGCAGTACCGTACACACACACTATACCACGCCAGGCCAGGGTGGATATGCTTATACCATCACTTGCATCATTATTGGGTTACAAAAATGCATCAGCGCTTGTGTAATGTTCAACTCAGACTGTTGATATACGGGAAGCGTTTCTGTGTATGCAAGAGATGCAATTAAGCATTAACTTATATTCTATACACCGGTAAAAAAAAATGTTGACCGAATCACTTTTGTACACATTATTTAAAAACTAAATAAGCTGATACTGTAAACTGATAATAATGACTTTATTTAGCTACTCATCTGACTCATCTCTGGCAATGCTTTTATACTAGCACGACTAACGGTAGCTACACTTAACCCATGTCTTTGTTAACTATTGATCAGCTGACTAAATGGTTATGGAGAGAAAAACAGCTGTTATTATTCTTCATGGTAAACAAACACCAAGAAAAACAACAATATTCTTTAACTAGACCATAATTTCTAAGTATGAGGATTTCAATTACACACCAACTTATAAAAATATTCTACGTACATTTTTTTTTCGATTTTACGATTTTAGCAAAGAACATCTGA